GGGGGGGGGGGGGGGGGGGTCACCTTTGAAACCCGCTTTCTCAAATGCTTGTGAGTAGTGTGGTTTCCGTGAAGCACTCCTCCAAATAATACGCCCTCCAACCTGGAAAAAGAGCATGTACCCCAAGGGGCATAGGTAAGTACCAATCACTCAAGGAAACCCATCCACACTGAATTGGAGAATGAACTTGGGGCACCCAGCCCATGTGGCTGAAGGGTACATAAACCCATATAACTGTTGATAAACAGACCTGAGTTCGAATCCCGAATCCTGATGGAATAAACGAGCGCCAAATTACCTCTGGTCGGTCAGTTCAATGATGAAAAAAGGAAAAGAATGAAATTGGGGAGCGCACTAAAGAGCATGCCCGTCCCTGAAGCCAGCCATGGAAGTCATGTGGCAGGTAGTGGGCCAAAAAGGAAGTTGGGATTTGAGAGAGAGACAGGGTATGACAGCTGCAAATAGAGCCGAAGTTGTGATATTGGGACACATGTGCAATTTGCATGCAAAGAAGGAAGGAACCTGGCCAAGTTTAGGACTAGGTGAGTTCCAAACAGGAACATGGCACTGGCAGAGCCTGGCCGGGCTGGCCCTAAGCGTTGTTGATGCCCAGTAGGGCCAGTTCCCTTTTCTCTCCAATCAATGGTAACCTCTTTTGAACAAATGCTCCAATCTATTCGTGGGAAGCAGCACGTGCTGGGAACCAGGCCCAGCGTCCCATATCAAATTATACAGATCATTGAGAAAAATTGAGGTCTTTTGAGGACATTTGAGATACTGGGGCCATTACCCGGCTTCGGCTGAGAACGAACTGTGAAACAGAGTCCTACGAATTTAGTCTTTGAGTGAAGATAGGGAGACTTTACGTTCACCCAGAAGAGCTGGAGTCAATCAATTCAATATGTAAATAGCGGATATAGATTAAAGGTAAATTGTCTGCCTTCCAAGCAGGGGATATGGGTTCGATTCCCGTTATCCGCAATTGCAATTTGATGAAAAAAAAAATGAGATAAATAAAATGTGCGTATCAAAATTTAAAACTTGCCGACAAATCTTGGAAAATGTTTGGCAAACAAAAAAACTTACTCAAAAAAAATAAAAATAAAAAAAAATCGAAGGCTCGAAAACAAACAAACAAGGCAATGCTCACTACTCTCAGGTTCCCTGACAACTCAAGCATAGCAAACCAAGGTTGTGCTATTGAGATCAGGGGCTAATCCAAATGGGGCCAATTTGTGATCAGAATTTCGTGCAAATGAGACCTTTGCGAACGGAATTTCGTCCAAATGGGGCCATTATTTGAGATCAGGATCTAGTCCAAAGGGGCCAAATCTGAGATCAGGATTTCGTCGAAATGGGCCCAAATTGAGAACAGGGTGTCGTGCATATGGGACGAATTCGAGATCAGTCCAAATGAGCCCTCTGAGAGCCGAACTTCGTCCAAATGGGCCCAAATTTGAGATCACAATTTCGTCCAAAAGGGCCCATTTGAGATCAGGGGCCCATTTGAGATCAGGGGCCAAAAATGAGATCAGGGGCGGATCTGAGATCAGGATTTCGTCCAAATGGGTCCAATTGAGATCAGGATCTTGTCCAAACGGGCCCGAATTGAGAGCATAAATTGAAAATTGAAATCATAATCTGACCCGATTTATTTATTTATTAAATTATTATTATTATTATTTTTTCCCCTTTTTTATTTAAGGTTACTAAGCTATATTACTAAAATATTAGTATCATGGTAACCGTCCGGACGTCCGGACCGTGTTCCAGACAGTCCGGTATCCGGTGTCCGGTCCTCATGTCCAGACGGAGGCCCCTGGGGCAAAAAAAAAAAAAAAAAAAAAAAAGGGGCGGCCCAGGACGTTTATCGGGTCCTGGCCGCCCTTTGAAAAATAACG